TGTCCTTTCTCCTCGTCCAGGACCGTTCCCTTGGGTCATGGCAGGCGGAAATGTGAAAACGTTTCAGGGTTTCTCACCCATTACACCAATATTTATCAGAAGTCTACTTTAAATGAGTCGATTACGTGTCGTGAGCCCTCTAATCCTTATCTTGAGTATTGGAGAAAAAATGGAGTGGCCCCCCCGAACTGGAGTTTCACCGTACACTGATGCTGCTTTCCTAAAGCGAGGCAGCTGCACTCGGAATAACGCCTCATTGCTGGGACTCCACAGCTTACAAAGTTGTATAAGCCGTCGATCGAGCAGTGAACAACATTTTGATACGATGGTGTCAGACTGAAGAATATTGTGACAATAGCAGATATGCAGTTACACAACCAAAGATTACAACTAAGCAGGTGTGTAGTGGAGTGGAGATGTTTGTCGGACGAGATGGCGATGAGTACGAGTAGATTGAATGCGAATATTAGCAGTGCAAGAAGGAAGTTGAACGCGGACGTCCACATGCTGAGACGGGCTCTTGATGGCTATGCAAAGGGCGACACTGCCACGGTCTCTCAGAATCTACCGTATCAAGAAGGTTGATGAGGGAGACGGTGACAGAGTCTTGAGCGTTGAAGAGGGCGTAACTCCAGCGTGGTGACACTGCTTTCTGTGTTCGTTGAATTCGCCGTCCTCCTCCGGCCGGCCTATCGATCACGCCTCGCGCCAGCCTCTCCAGCGTCATGAAGCGTCCGCACTTCAAATTGTTTCGAATGAGGTTAGCGTACAATTTTTGAGTTGATCTGCCCGCTATTAACGCTTAGCCATGAATTAGTGGATTGTTGTGGCAGCTTTTCCGCGTATTCCTGGGGGAAGTATGACTTTCCAGTCCGTTTAGACAGACGACTGATCGGAGATAAACAGCTGGCAGAATGCCAGTTGTTAGGGATATCATTTTCAACGGTCTATCGCTCTATTGGAAAGTTTCGATGCCAGTAAATCCCTGGTGAAGTTGCGCAACTATCGAATCCATATGGCGCCGCCATCATAGTTTTTAACCATATATTTTTTTCATAAATTTGGCACAAATTTTTTGGTCTTCTCTGACTGCCTTATAATTTTCAGTAGTCGAGATATTGTGTCTTTGATATACTTGTCGTTTTCATAATTAATGGCGTACGAGTGGGATGATGCCTTGCTGTGAAATGCAGCACTTGGGCGGTGAATCGAATGCTTTCATCTTCCCAGTCCCGTATTATGCTCCACCCAGCTGATTCCTGAGAGAATGGGACGTAGGCAGTCTCGACAGCGCTCGATCCCTCGATATATCGTTTGTAAGATGTGACGCCTTCCTGAGCCTTTTGCTCCATTACAGTTTCCGATGCGTTAGGAAGAAAGAGGCGTTGACTTGCAAAATTTCGATACCTTCTCCTTACGTTGAGGTTCCATTCGGAATTTCGAAGACACGAAAGTCTCTGTTCAGGAATGAAACGGGTTTAAAGGGTAAGGTAAGTAGCTAGGCAATTCTGTAGAAGTACGCATCACAACGCTTTCGGTTATGACATATCTGTTCTGATTCGGTGGACGTACCTGGGAATGGGAACTGATCTATATTTGTTCACATTCGCTGGTCCTTTCAATGTATTTCAAGGTGAAAACTTTGTCCAAGCACCCTTAGCCTTTGCGAGGTGTCGCTTTTCCTGTCCAGGACCGTTCCATTGGGTCGAGGAAATCGGAATTTCCCAAAGGATTCGCTCGAAGACGTTGAAAACTGAGTTGATTAAGGGGTGTCCTGTGGCGGCGCTTCCGTGCGCTATCGTATATCACTGGTGCTTTCTAAAAACTAAGCCGCTCAAATGCCTGTTCATACATCACTACTAGTGAGTGATTGGACGTTGATGTTCCGGTTAATTGTGAAATGGGTATCTATACGAAATCATCGCAGAGCTTAGGTAGCGGATGGCCTAGGGTAGTGCAATGGCAAGAGATTTGCACTGCACTTGCGCGATGGGTCCTTCGTACTAGATTACCGCTATCAGCGACGTCTTCCTCTGTTCTTCGTTAGCTGGTGCAAGACTTGTTCGAGAGGAGCGGACATTTCGGCATGGAAATCAGTTGACCCGGCTACTGTTTGTGTAGGTCCTATACACGCTCTCAATACTCCAGCGACTCTGCGTGGACATTTTGAGCGCGACGCGTTTCACAGGGTTTCACAGGGTAGATGGACACTATCGTTTTCTGTCCTTGAAGTTTTATTTTTGAGTAACACGTGTGACTAGTAGCCAGGCGCGATGGCAGTTTTTTACATGTGAGAGTGCGTTTGAGCGGAGAAAATATGCGAATCTGTTGGCTGCGGCCAAAGCGAACCAACGAGGTGAATGAGCGACTTAGTGAATGAATGAATGACGAGGGCAGTGCACAGCAGAAAAACCTACATAATGCGAGTAAAGCGGTGATTTCTGAGACGCAAACGCTTTCGCTTCATCGTATCCCCATGGGTATCCGAAAGATCTGCGCCCGGTGTCTCATCATGTCAACTTCCAAAATTGATGTATAGTTTGTGGTTGCTAGACCTCGCAGAGCACTTCTCATTCCAATAGATCTGCGCCGAAGCTGCTGAGTGGTGTGAATCAGATGCATGCTCATAAACACATACACATGACCATTAACTTGTTTTCTCGACGATAATGCTGTAAACAGGAAAGCCGCACGTCGTTGTAGCCTTCACGACAGCTCTGGATTTAGGCGAACGTATACGCGACTCAATAGCCTAGTGTTCACGAAAATCTTATTTCTCGAAGGCGTCTAGTCAAAGATCACATGGGAGTGGTAAACAACGTATGCAAAGTAGTAACTCATAGTAGACATACTTGGATAGATGGTAATTGTGTCGTGAGAGTGCATGAACAACTCCGATAGTAAGCAGACTGAGTAGGCTAACTGTTGAGTTGAGCAGCACTGCGGCCGCATGTGCACCGGACTGCTCCACTGTTGTCCAACCGTCACCCCATGAACGTATTCGTTGCGCGACTTCACCATTCATTGACATCTGGTGCAAATATGAACGTTGTGATGAATTGGTATGTGTCATAGTCGTGAGGCGTTATTATGAGTACAGATGCTGTCTGTGAGTTGGTTTTGACAAAAGGTCTCCGGTCTCGATTGGAAGCCTACTACAATTACATAGTTTATTCAATTTCTGGGTCAAGGTTAGATTTGTTGAATGACTTGTTGTGTATGCTGATACAGCTTTGATGTACACTGGGTGAAACTCCAGTTCGGGGGGGCCACTCCATTGCTATCTTATCCGTAGTACTAGAGAGCAGTTCTTTGGGCTATCGAACACTACGGATAAGATAATAAGTGAACGACTCATTTCGAGCGTACTTTTGATAAGGACCGGTGGATGTCCTACATTCCACACTACCTGCCCACATCCCATCCACTTTTCTGCACAGGTGATCCACCCTGGAGCTCCTGCACCCTTAGCCCTTTGCGGAGGTGTCCTTTCTCCTGGTCCAGGACCGTTCCCTTGGGTCATGGCAGGCGGAAATGTGAAAACGTTTCAGGGTTTCTCACCCATTACACCAATATTTATCAGAAGTCTACTTTAAATGAGTCGATTACGTGTCGTGAGCCCTCTAATCCTTATCTTGAGTATTGGAGAAAAAATGGAGTGGCCCCCCCCCGAACTGGAGTTTCACCGTACACTGATGCCTTTCCTAAAGCGAGCAGCTGCACCTGAATCCTCGCCTCATTGCTGGGACTCCACAGCTTACAAAGTTGTATAAGCCGTCGATCGAGCAGTGAACAACATTTTGATACGATGGTGTCAGACTGAAGAATATTGTGACAATAGCAGATATGCAGTTACACAACCAAAGATTACAACTAAGCAGGTGTGTAGTGGAGTGATATTTGTCGGACGAGGATGCGCATTGAGTTACGATACATTGAATGCAATATTAGCAGTGCAAGAAGGAAGTTGAACGCGGACGTCCACATGCTGAGACGGGCTCTTGATGGCTATGCAAAGGGCGACACTGCCACGGTCTCTCAGAATCTACCGTATCAAGAATAGGTGATGAGGGAGACGGTGACCAGCGGTCTTGGCGGGACAGGGGCGAACCCCCGGGGGGGGGGGGGGGGGGGGGGGGGGGGGGGGGGGGGGGGGGGGGGGGGGGGGGGGGGGGGGGGGGGGGGGGGGGGGGGGGGGGGGGGGGGGGGGGGGGGGGGGGGGGGGGGGGGGGGGGGGGGGCACTGCTTCGTGTTCGTTGAATTCGCCGTCCTCCTCCGGCCGGCCTATCGATCACGCCTCGCGCCAGCCTCTCCAGCGTCATGAAGCGTCCGCACTTCAAATTGTTTCGAATGAGGTTAGCGTACAATTTTTGAGTTGATCTGCCCGCTATTAACGCTTAGCCATGAATTAGTGGATTGTTGTGGCAAGCTTCCGCGTATTCCTGGGGGAAGTATGACTTTCCAGTCTGTTTAGACAGACGACTGATCGAGATAAAACAGCTTGCAGATGCAGTAATTTAGGATATCCCAATTTCAACGGCCTATCGCTCTGTTGAAAAATTTCGATGCCATAAATCCCTGGAATTGCGCACTATCGAACCCATCATGCCCGACCATCATAGTTTTAAGCATATATTTTTTTCATAAATTTGGCACAAATTTTTTTGTCTTCTCTGACTGCCTTATAATTTTCAGTAGTCGAGATATTGTGTCTTTGATATACTTGTCGTTTTCATAATTAATGGCGTACGAGTGGGATGATGCCTTGCTGTGAAATGCAGCACTTGGGCGGTGAATCGAATGCTTTCATCTTCCCAGTCCCGTATTATGCTCCACCCAGCTGATTCCTGAGAGAATGGGACGTAGGCAGTCTCGACAGCGCTCGATCCCTCGATATATCGTTTGTAAGATGTGACGCCTTCCTGAGCCTTTTGCTCCATTACAGTTTCCGATGCGTTAGGAAGAAAGAGGCGTTGACTTGCAAAATTTCGATACCTTCTCCTTACGTTGAGGTTCCATTCGGAATTCCGAAGACACGAAAGTCTCTGTTCAGGAATGAAACGGGTTTAAAGGGTAAGGTAAGTAGCTAGGCAATTCTGTAGAAGTACGCATCACAACGCTTTCGGTTATGACATATCTGTTCTGATTCGGTGGACGTACCTGGGAATGGGAACTGATCTATATTTGTTCACATTCGCTGGTCCTTTCAATGTATTTCAAGGTGAAAACTTTGTCCAAGCGACGCAGACAAGGCCTGCAATCCGTTCGCTTGTTTACCGAAGCTTTTTTTCTTCATAGAAACGACAGTGTGTCGTTCAACGGTCGTTGCTTTGTTCGAGTATGTCTCATGGCTTTTGTATATATTAGGGCTTTCTTGATGCTATCAAAATTCTTTCGCCTAATATTACGTAAAGAACAAAGCGTCTGGTGTTCACTAATTCGGTTTTTGGGGTGCGCCATGCACTGTACCTCTATTCGAAATCTTAATTGCATTTGAGTATTATTTTGCCTACACAATGACTTGCGGGGTCCGACCATAGTACAGTTCTGTATTTGTATCCTCCCAAGCAGGTTTTAGGAACTAGACGACGCCACACAGACGGAAGTTTTTGTTGACGGGGATCCGAAATTTAGCAATCGCACTGTGCGCTTGAAAATTGGCAACATTCCCAATACACCACCTTCGCCCGTTTTTTCTATTTATATACAATCTCAAGATTCTGCACTAGTTCATTGTTACCAAATTCAGCTGTCACATGAATGTTCTTTCTTCCGGTACACTCAAGAAAAGACTTGAAAATCTTACACTAAAATGCTTTGCCTCTGAGTGAGTTTTTTGCAAAGGAACACCTCACTCATGACCGAAGTTGATTCTGTCTTCGTGTCAAGTGCACATACGGTTGACTATCAGATTTCATTGCAACATATCTCGTTGAAATCATGTTTGTCATGTTTACAGCGTGGAGGAGCTGTTGGGAGAGAAGGAACTTCAGCTGCAGATACACGAATTCGTGAAGACATCCTCATTGTCTCCAGAACTCAAAAATGCAATGCTTGTCAACGCAAAACAATACTTTGAACTAGTAAGTGTTAGCAGTAGTGCAGCTGTCGTTGTTTAAATTTTATTTGTCAATCTTTTTAAGGTGACGAAGATCGATAAACATAAACAGGTAGCTGCTTTCATGAAGCAGTTCGCAACAAAAACGAAAACTATCACGGACATTGTGAGAGGCTTAGGAGAGCTGTTGTTGCCTCGACATCCTGAAGCCTTTTTGGGTAAGCGAAACTGACTCTTATTAATTCTGACACTGATATTCTGATACTTACTGCAATTTTTCTGGAAAATTAGGTTCTTTCTGAGCGATGAAGCGCCTTTCAATTCATTTTTGCGATGGGTCGAATTTTTAAAGTCTATTTAGTCATTTCTCCGTCTGTGGTCGTCTAATTGTAGTCAGATCTACCTGTAAGATAAAAAATGGAGGCGAATATCTGCTGGTTATTACAAGCTACTCTGGAAGGTCACATGAGTATTCAAGCTTTTAACGTTTGTGACTAGTTGTCAAGCTCTTTGTACGCCTCAAAAGGAGATCGTTGAAGGCACAACTGTTCGTTCTCCACAAAGTGGCCTGTGATCAAAGTAAAATTTAAAGTGCTTTTCACTCAAGAGTAAATTCCTTGGTTAGTGCAG